AAGAGTATTGGTAGTATTCTTTTTCTTAAAATGAGTGATGGCAACTTGAGTGTATATTTTATCACGAATTTTGAAGCCATACATTAGCTATGTATTGTCTTTGGTCAGTATAATGAAGTTCTTTAAATAATTTTTTTAGTAGCAGTTAGTATGGTGTAATGCTCAAATATTGGGGTGTGGGGGCAAAGTTCCCATCAGGGAGGGTTTCCTAGAGACCTGAAAGCAGGCTGGGAGGTGGTACCTGCCTGCTGCTCCAGCTCACTCCAGGCCTCTCCCCTAGATCTTGAAGCAGAACAACACCAGGCTGGAGAGCCGGACCCAGCTCGTCACCATGTGCCACATGGGTCCCAAAGTTTTCATGAACTGTGCTGGCTTCCTCAAGATCGACACAGCCTCCCTGGGGGACAGGTGATGCCCTCTGCCTGGGTGGGCCAAGAGGAATTCCCTTGGGCTTTACTTTGGGGATACAAAGGAGAGGGCTGTCAAAGGGCCACAAGCTATTTAAATTAGCAAATGTTTTAAAGCAAAGTTGAGGAACCTTTATTTAGTCAAGAGCCTCTGACCTATGGAAAAGATCAGTTCAATTATGCGAAGGATTTTTGTGAGAGAAACATAAAAAGAACCAACTTAGTTTATAAATAAAGGACAGAAAACATAATACTTGGTTCAGTAAACACAAACTTGTTCTGTTGTTATGGTTAGTTATGGCTAGAGAAGGGTGGGGATAGCACGGGCAGTGGAAAGGAGTGTGGGGGTCTGAGGAGATAAGGAAGGGGGAGAGAGATCTGGTGTATTTTGAAATGATGTTATTGAGAGAAAGTTCTTTTCATTTGGACTTTGGACTTCACTATTGACCTCTTCCTCTCCAGAAGTTATCAACTCAGTCTTTGGAGGATCTTTTCCACGGGCACATAGCTCCTCATTCAGTAATGGAAATCAGTGGGGAAATAGGCTTCAAGTTCTAAAACTTCATTTTCCACCCAGCTTTGCTGTAACACTCCACGAATAACATAGGTCCATGTGAGTGCACGGGCAAGACCAGCCTGGGAAGGCTTTATGGGGGAAAGTAGCTGTCAGCAAATTCTCAAAGGTCTTCTTCCCCCTTCTTGTTTTATCTTAATGTAAGACTTATATAAGTTCATTATATAAAATTCAACATATAGAAACATTGTGCAGAAAGTTGAAGTCCCCCATAATCCCACCCCCCAGAGATAACTACCATAACAAGTTGATGTATACTACAACTTTCTTAAATTTTATTTTTTGCTATGCATTTACTAACTACCCATTTACTACAAAAATGGGATCATATGACTCATAGTGTTTTGCAGTGCATTATTCACGTATCAGTATATCGTGGCCATCTTTCCATGTCAGCACACATAGATCTACCTCATTCTTTTTAATGGCTGTATAGTATTCCATTGTATGGAGGTACCCTAATTTCTTTAACCAATTCCCCATTGGTGAACATTTGGGTTGTTACTAGAAACTTCTCGTTATGTATCCTTCCCCTTTTTCACCTTTTCTTCAGCACTGACTCATATATAGAAGTCCTTGATGGTTCCCGAGTCCACCCTGAAACCTATGAGTGGGCCAGGAAGATGGCGGTTGATGCTCTGGAATATGATGAATCAGCTGAGGATGCCAACCCTGCAGGAGCCCTTGAAGAGATCTTGGAAAACCCAGAGCGACTCAAGGACCTGGACCTTGATGCCTTTGCAGAAGAACTGGAGAGGCAGGTGCGTGACAGTGTAGAAAGCCTGTCACAGAAACCATCCCAAGTGGCCTAGTTGGAAAGAGACTCAGGCAGCAAGTCTCCAGAGAAACCACAGTAGTGTTAGTATAGGAGACTTAATGCTTTCTTCTCCCTCCCTGTGCTGTACTGTGTTTCTCAAGGAAGTTTTCAGTCTGCTTTAGGGAGTTGAAATCTCTACAGGGAGACTGCTATAGTCATTGTGGAGGGGCACATTGTGGGGAGCCGGGAGAGGGTGAGTCATACAGTTTCCTTCCAGGCCCTCTTTCCCCCTTTCCAACAGTGCGGCTTTGCATTTATCTGTTTTACACATGGGGGTTCTGTGAAGCATTTTTATTGTAGATGAGCTTTCCATGGCTAAGGAAAAGTTTGAATATCTCCTGTAGTAAATGCTGGGGGAAAAGAGACAATCCCTGACAGGAGCCAACTGCCCTAGTCCTTTCATTGGAACCCCTTGTGGCTTGGGGAGGTTGCAAGGTTCTTCTTGATGGGCTTCTTCCCCAGGGCTATGGTGACAAACACATCACTCTGTACGACATCCGGGCAGAGCTAAGCTGTCGGTATAAGGACCTCCGGACAGCCTACCGCTCGCCCAACACAGAGGAAATCTTCAATATGTTGACCAAAGAAACACCAGAGACCTTCTACATTGGTAAATTCTGTTTTTCAGTGGGAGGAGGACATAGAGGGGTGAGGGGATGCATTTATTGTACATTCAAACCAAGCAATAATTCCAACAGAATGAGGCAGGTTTGTACTCAAAGACCAGGGGAGCTTTTAAGAAGATTAGGAGTCCTGAACTGGAAGTCAAAGTTGAGTTCAAGGTCAGATATGCTTTTAACCTGCTGCTGTGGGATCTTCATGGGGTCAATCTATGGCCTCATTTCCCCCGCATCAAATGATCTCCCTTTTCAAGGGTGTGACGAAAATCAGTAGAGATGCTCTAAGACACGTGTTCTATGGGTTGGTGGGAAGGAATCACCTCTCCAGTTCTCTTAGCCTGCTCCCTGTTTTCTTCCCTTCTCCTCTCCCCTTCCTCCAGGAAAGCTTATCATCTGCAACGTCACTGGCATTGCCCACAGGCGTCCACAGGGTGAGAGCTATGACCAGGCAATCCGCAATGATGAGACAGGGCTATGGCAGTGCCCCTTCTGTCAACAGGACAATTTCCCTGAACTCAGCGAGGTATGTGCTGCCCTGTTATCATGGTCACTGAATTTCCTTGATTGAATTGTCTCAGTGCCCTAGAAAGGAATCAAGAATGGGGATATTTTAGATCATGCTTTACCAAATAAATACACAAAGAAGGAAGAAGGCTGGAATGCACATAGGTCTAACATGACGTCCCTCCGTATGCTACGCAGGATGATCTATATGCTTTCGTGGTTTAACCCTTGTTTCCCACTCTCTCGGGATCTAGCTCAACCAGATTAGAGACATGAGAACATGCATTTCTTACCTACAGAGTGGGTACAGAGTCCCTATGATAGTTAGAAGGTATCTTGTAGGCTCCCTTCAATTTTTTCTTTCTCCACACAATCTTAACAGTTTTTCCCACAATCTTCTAGACACCGTCTGTTTTTCTCATGGGCAGAACTCATAAAAACCACCCTGAAAGCTTTCTCTGGATCTTCAGATGTTGCTCAATTGTAAAATAGTTTCTCAGCTTTACCAAATAGAAGAAACTGGTGGGATTTTTCCAGGATATAAAAAAGCCAAGGGGTTCCTGGTTCACAGGAATGAGTTGTTCTAAGGAGACTGACATAGATATTTCTTAGGCCTGCTAGGTCAGAACAGAATGGGGAGGAATGGAGGAACATACAGCTGGAGGAGTTGCAGCTGGAGGAACATACAGATTAGATTAACGTAAAGGATTGATCTCATGGCCAGTGGTGCCGAACATGAGTTATGAGTCAAGGAGCAGTGAGGATGTTTAAATTCTTTGTTGCTGGGTGGCTCAGTCATTGTGTTCTCAGATCATGATGCCAGTGTCAGTGGTAAAATGAATTACAACACCCCTGGCAGCTCTCTTTTGAATGTGTGATCTCCAGAATCTTAATGAGCAGTCTCCTCTCCTGATGCCCTCTTTAGGTCTGGAACCACTTTGACAGTGGTTCGTGCCCAGGCCAGGCCATCGGTGTCAAAACACGGCTAGACAATGGTGTCACGGGCTTCATCCCCACCAAATTCCTCAGTGACAAAGTGGTAAAGCGGCCAGAGGAACGAGTGAAGGTAGGTGAATGACTGGGTTGAGGTATCTAGTGCAGTTTTCAGCTGTTCAAGTCAGGCTCTCTAACTTTAACTTTAGGCTGTCCTCATTGAGAGTTAGGCTCTGTTCCCAGTGGCTGCTGGTGGGGAGAGTTTCAGGAGGATTTATAGCTAGTTGAGAGAAGCCAGGACCAGAAGCATCTGAATGAGTAGCTGCTTTTGTTCACTGCCTTTGTGGAATTTCATCAAGTTGCCAACCCTTTGGGAGAGGGCTCTTCCTGTGTGGGAAGCTGTGGTTTAGTCCAGCCGGCAGGAAGCAAGGCCCGCATTACATGCTGCGAAGCAGAAAGGCTGCACTCCCTTTCTGTTCTAGTATTCTCTTGGTGTTTATTATGCCAAGTTGCCATTTATTATGTACATACTAGATACCAGCTATCAACATTTGCATACATTACGTCTAATCTCACAGCCTTACGGGGAAGAAAAATTACCTTGTCTTTTCAGAGGCATTCGAGTGCCTTTTCCAGGATCAGCAAGTTAGTAGCATGGCCGGTACCAGATCTGCCAAATTCTCTGGTTCTAGTTCTGAGTATTGTGAACCTCTGAGAACTGTGGACTTAGGAAGGCTAGGGAAAGACATTCCTAATATAGGCATATGTCATTTTGTTGTGCTTTGCAGATACTATATTTTTTACAAATTGAAGGTTTGTAGCAACCCTGCACCGATCATGTCTATCAGTGCCATTTTTCTGACAGCATTTGATCACTTCTTGTCTCTGTGTCACATGTATGTGTGGTAATTCTCACAATATTTCAGCCTTTTTCATTATATTTGTTATGGTGATCTTCAGTCAGTGGTCTTTGATGTTACCACTGCAAACAGATTAGGGCTTGCTGAAGGCTCAGGTGATGGTTAGCATTTTTTAGCAATGAAGTGATTTTTAGTTAATGTATGTACATGTTTCTTAAACATAATAGTATTGCACACTTAGTAGACTATAGTATAGTGTAAACATAACGTATATATCCACTGGGAAACCCAGAAATTCTTTTGACTCACTCTATTTCGATTTTTGCTCTATTGTGGTGATCTGAAACTGAACCTGTGATATCCCCAAGATATGCCTATAAATGAAGCTAAGAAGATTTTCAGAAGGAGAGTCATGCAGATTAACTGGTTTTTGTCACCCTTTAGACAGAAGGGCTCAAGTTAGGGATAAAGTACAGAAAATGGCTATTTGTTTTCCCTCCTAAAAGGGCAGCCAGACTTCGCTCACACTATAGGAGCAGTAATTAGGTGACATTATGGGAGGAGGGAATAGTGCCAGTGACAGGATAGATCCCAGTAGGCTCTAGTGGGTTTTCCTGCCTATATGGGAGGCATCAGTACAGGGCATAGGCTGTAGTCTGTAGGCCAGACTCAATCCTGAACTCCTAATCTGCCATTCCGTAGCTGGCTGGCTTTGGGCAGTCACTCCACCTTTCTGCCTGGACTTTGGTTTTCTCACATATAAATAGGGCATTGGGCTAGATCATCTTTGTCCCTTCCAGCTCAAATGTTCTGTGGATCTAGGTGGGAATGACTGTTCACTGCCGCATCATGAAGATCGACATTGAGAAGTTTAGTGCAGACCTGACCTGCCGTACTTCAGACCTCATGGACAGGAACAATGAGTGGAAACTGCCCAAGGACACCTACTATGACTTTGATGCTGAAGCAGCAGACCACAAGCAGGAGGAGGACATGAAACGGAAACAGCAGCGGACCAGTGAGTGTGCCCACAGCCATGCCCGTGCACCGCAGTCTTGGCAGCTCTCCCTTCGCAGGATGCACATGCTGACTGCTCAGATTCCTGATGGGAGTGACTCAGTGCTGAGGTGCTGAGGCCCATAGGCATCATGAAAGGGAGTCACTGGCAGGGTTGGAAGCGGGGGTCTTCCTGAGTCTAATTTTCTTTGCTGATGCACTGTGACTCTTAAAGCATCATTCTCTCAGCACCCTAGGAACCCAGGTTCACACATCCTTTTCCTCAGAAAATCCAGGCCCAGAGAGGGTGAAAGAGTTCCAGAATTCACTCGTGTGTCAGAAATTAAGCCATGGCTTGTCCTATTGCTGTTGGCTCCCAGTCCCATCACCTGATCTGTACTTCTTTCCTGCTCTCTTCAGCATACATCAAGCGAGTGATTGCACACCCATCCTTCCATAATATAAATTTTAAACAAGCAGAAAAGATGATGGAGACCATGGACCAGGGTGATGTGATCATCCGACCAAGCAGCAAGGGTGAAAATCACCTGACAGTGACCTGGAAAGTCAGTGATGGCATCTACCAGCACGTGGATGTGCGGGAAGAGGGCAAAGAAAATGCCTTCAGCCTGGGAGCCACCCTGTGGATCAACAGTGAGGTAAGAGCCAACCCCTGCCCATTTTAGCATCCCCACTCCTGCTTTCAGAAACAAGCCATTTCTGGCCACTTTCACCTTAACAACTTGTATGCATTATATATATTTTAGCCACACAGAGCAAAAAAACAGGAGGTTAGCTATGAAATGAGTAATTAAATAATCAGTTTTGTGTATTTTGTCCCTCCTTCCCTGTCCTCCAAATTTTGACACGTTGATCGCCCACTGTGGATCATGTGTATTTCCTGCAAGGCCCAAATTCACACTTCACCGTGGTGTAATACACCATATGTGCTTATAATTAATCTGTTTTTCCAGTGTAATTGGAATTGTTTTAAAAAAAACAATTTTGTTTAAAAATTCTTTGTTTAAAAAAACTGTTGCAAATTACTTGTAAAAACTTGCATAATTGGAAGAAGGAAAGTGTCATCCATATCTAGATTACGGGGCCCCTAAGGAAACACAACTGTCACCCACATTTGAGTGACGTGGCGATCAGCGTGTTAATCTAGAGAGTCCCTGGAGGAAGAGGAAAAAACACACATGCGAGCACTTGCGTGTGTGTACGCGCGCACATACATCAAATTTCTCTGTCCTCTTTTCAGTGAAGAGAAATTTTATGAAGCTCCCTATTGTTCCCAAGACCAGGGGAGTATTAAAGTTATGATTTAAAGGGTTTTGTGTCTTGTTAGCTAATACATCTGGCATGACTCAGACAGATGGATAAGTCGAGGGGACTTCGCAGCAGAGTAAAGCTATAGCAGGGCTAGGAAGTTCCTCCCCTCCCATGGGTTCTGTTCTGAGTGGATGTGATGAAAGGCTGAGTCTTGGCCCTGGATATGACACATGAGATCTTTACCTTCTTCCCACAGGAATTTGAAGACTTGGATGAGATTGTTGCCCGCTATGTCCAGCCTATGGCATCCTTTGCCCGGGACCTTCTGAACCACAAGTATTATCAGGACTGCAGTGGTGGGGACCGTAAGGTGAGCCCAGGGCCCTGTGAGGGATGACACCTCCCAGTCACTTAAGGATGTATGGTTTCCCTTCAGTGTAGGGGATGCTCAGCTGATGAAGGAGGTGTGCATCATGTGTGAGCCAGACATTGTATACCAAGCATGCTGCTATCCCAACCTCTCCCCCTCATTCTACCCCCAGAAATTAGAGGAGCTGCTCATCAAAACTAAGAAGGAGAAGCCCACCTTCATTCCCTATTTCATCTGTGCCTGCAAGGAACTGCCCGGCAAGTTCCTACTGGGATACCAGCCCCGGGGTAAACCCAGGTGAGCACTGGTGCTGAGAAGGTGCTGCCGCTGGGGTTCACAGATAGGCTAGCAGGGGAGTTAGAGGCCCCCAGAACAGTACTCTCTCTGGTTCTGCTTGACTGCCTTTCTCCTCTTATCTGTTTAGAGTGGAGGTGGAGGTTGGAGGTGGGGAAAGAGGGTGATGATTTAGAGGCAAGAATGAATAAGAAAGGCGCTATAATCAACCTTGTAAAAAGGAGTTCCCTTCGCCTCTTCTCCCTCCCAAGGAGTGACGCAAATCACCACTCTTCCCACCTGACTGGCAAAGATGGGGGCCAGCACGCCAGTCTCTCCTTTCCACTTTGTTTCATCCTCATCAGGGCCTTTGGCACATGGTGGCTCACTGTTGCTGTGGTGAGCCTGTGCTGAAGGGGGTTAGGTCAGGAGAGCATCTCTCCTTCCAGTCGTCAGCATGCTCTGCTCCCTTCTGTGTGTGGCTGACAGGATGACCTTCCTGGGTGTTCCTTTATCTGAGTCCCTCCAGTGCTCACCCTGCATTGGACAAAGTCCAGTTTTCTTAGACCTGTTTTCTTTGTGTCTGTTACCCAGACTGACAGCTATATGGGCCTTCTCTGCTCCCACGTCCTCGCCTTGGCCATTGCCAGGGCCTGTGCATTTCTGCTCTTAGTCCTGTACTGCCTGCACATGATCACAGTGTAGACTCTATTAGGAGGGGCTCAGAGGCCAGATGATAAGAGGCTCTGGACTCCGGACCCTGTACCATCTGGGGCACTTCTGGAATATTGTGTTCATTTCTGAGAAGCCTTTTCTGACTCACCAGCATGCTTCCAGGAGGTGGCAGCCAGGGCCATGTAGGGGCTGGAAGCTGTCCCATGAGGAACAGTTGAAAAAAAGGGGCGTTTAACCAGGAGCAGAAGCAACGTGATAACTTCCTGTGGAAAAGGGCACAAACTTCTTATGATGCAGAGTGAACAACACTTGGGTAGAAGATTTAAGAAGCAGGTTTCAGTTTAATATGAGTGAGAACGTTGCCATGCTTAGCTTTGGCTATTGGCTGTTGACAGCTACCTTTATTGAGCACAGCCCATTTTAAGTGTTTTGTTAAGTGCTTTATATGCTGTCACCTTTATTCGTCATACTCACTGTAAAAGTTTAAGTGCGGTTACCTCATTGTACAAGTGAAGCTGAGACTCGGGTTTAAAGTCACGTAGATGGTGAGTGTCAGAGCCAAAACTGGAAGTAGACCTGGATCTGAATGCAGAGCCCATCTCTTGCCTACTCTCTGCTCTGGCTAAGTGTTGAATAAGGGCAGACCAACCACCTTCAAGAGGCACTTCCAGATTCCAGCTCATGGGGAGTTGGCTTTGCTGCCTTGGGAGGCCTCTCCCAACCCTGACACTCTATGACCTCAGTGTCGCCCTCACATGCAGTGTGCTGCCATCATACTGCAGCCCAGGAGGTGGCCCAGCCCCGAGCAAGCCTTCTTCTGGCAGCCTGTAATAGCACACCAGGGGCTGCTGACTCCTGGCCCTACCTGTGCCCTGCTGCACACTCACCTCACCTCACCAGAGTGCAGCCTCCTCTTACAGGGACAGGGACTGGCTCTTTTATCTTTCCTTTCCCCCAGCACCCAGTGTGGCTACTTTACATGGTGGAGATCTGCTCTGGCCACTCGCTTACAGCTGGCCACAGGTAATATCTGATGCATGTTTCCTTCCAAAATCCCAGGATAGAATATGTAACGGTGACTCCAGAAGGATTCCGGTACCGGGGCCAAATCTTCCCAACCGTGAATGGACTTTTCAGATGGTTTAAGGATCATTACCAGGACCCTGTACCAGGTGAGTTCTTCTGTCTCTGACTTCTGGAGTATGGTTGAAGTACCACCTAAGTCCTGAATCAAAATAATCACTAGACTTCTGTAGGAGGGGTTGAGGCCTAGGCTGTCATTGTAGCTGTCTTAACTCCTCCATCCTTCTGGTGTCAGAAAGGTCCTCCATCCACTCTGCTTGTACAGCTCCCTTCTCTCCACCCACCTCAGTACCTCCTCCAGCCCCCTAAGTTGTAAAACCAGAACTAGGTTTCTGAAGAGATGTCAGTAACTTGGGCCGTTTTGTACAGGCATCACCCCCAGTAGCAGCAGCAGGACCCGGACACCTGCTTCTATCAATGCTACCCCAGCCAACATCAACCTTGCAGGTAAGGAGTTCATGCCAGGGACTGGGGATCAGAGGGCTGGAGCTAGAATGACTTTCGCCTTTAACGTACCTATCTCCCACTCTGTGTGCTTGCAGATCTGACACGGGCTGTGAACGCCCTGCCCCAGAACATGACCTCACAGATGTTCAGTGCCATCGCTGCCGTGACAGGCCAAGGCCAGAACCCTAATGCCACCCCAGCCCAGTGGGCTTCCAGCCAGTATGGCTATGGTGGCAGTGGAGGGGGCAGCAGCGCTTACCATGTACGTGGCTTGTGGAGGAAGCTCTCTGCAGAGGGTGGGGATGGCTGAAAGGGAAAAGTCGTCCTTTACCAACCTGTGTCCATAGACGAGCCTCTGCAGTACCTCTGCAGTACCCACCGGGAGGGTGTTCATATGCAGATGGGGCTGCCACAGCATTAGGAACTGTCTCCAACAGATGTTCCCTTTCCTTAGGCTTATTTGAAGGGAAAGGGAATAAGAGAAATTCTGACCTTTCTACAGAGTCGGGATCTTTGGAACCCTCAAGCCACTAGAAACCTCAAGTAGTCAGCAGTGATGGGCCCTATTGTTTTTGCCAGGTCCCAGCCCTGGCCTACCTCTGCTGCTCAGAACCACACACTGCTCACGAGAGGGTCAGCTGCAAAGCTCTGTTTGGACCCCAACTTTCAGCTTGCCAGAAATTCACAGGAAGGGCAAATAAGCGCAAAACCCATCCCCTTTCAACTGTTCCCCCTTCTCCAGGTGTTCCCAACGCCAGCCCAGCAGCCAGTGGCCACACCACTAATGACCCCCAGCTACTCCTACACAACCCCAAGCCAGCCCATCACGACCCCGCAGTACCACCAGCTACAGGCCAGCACCACCCCACAGTCTGCCCAGGCCCAACCCCAGCCCTCCTCCAGCTCCCGGCAACGGCAGCAGCAGCCAAAGTAAGTATGCTGATGGTGGCATGGAACAAGTTCTTGGGTATGAGGTCCATTTCTGCAAGAGAGGATGCTCACCGGTGGTTGGTGTGAAGCCGTCCTTGTGGGAAGCCCCAGAGAGTCCCAATCTCAAAGACTACTTCTTTCTCCCAGGTCCAACAGCCATGCAGCCATCGACTGGGGGAAGATGGCAGAGCAGTGGCTGCAGGAGAAGGAGGCAGAACGGCGGAAACAGAAGCAGCGGCTGACGCCTCGGCCCTCCCCCAGCCCTATGATCGAAAGCACCCCCATGTCTATTGCTGGCGATGCCACCCCACTCCTGGACGAGATGGATCGGTAGGGGGCCTGCTCCTAGGACTCTGGTTACCTCTGAGGCTGGGAAAGGCCTGGCTGCCCATTGCCTCACTCCCTGCCCCTCCTTTTCTGTCCATAAAGTGGCGTGAATTGACGTTCTCTTTGGTGGTCAGCCTGGATGGGTGACAGGCTGGATGGCCTTGCAAACTTGAGCTCATTGTACGCTAGGCGACAATACTCCTACTTCAGGCCCTCACCGACCACCTGTCCTGGGACCAGGCTGGGAGGGGAGTGTGGCAGGGAGGAAGAAGAGGAAGATGAGAATGAGAGTGGAACAGTTTTGTATTCTACTCCCTACAAGCCATTTGAGCTTCTGCCCTCACCTGACTCTGGGCTATGATGGGGCACCAAGCTCAGCACACGAGTCTCCCCCGGCTCTTGTGGGGAGAGGGATGCTATTTATTCAGTTTGGGACAGGAGGGAGAAGAGGGAAAGTATTTTTGACCCTGATGCCAACAGCTTGGGTGGCTGTCAAAGGAGGATGGCAGGGGACATGGGAGCAGTGCTAACCTGCCCAGCCCCCACCTGGCTGCCCTCACCCCCTGCTGCCACCGCTTCCTGCCTGTCATTTGAATAAACAGTGTTTCTACAGAGCATTTCGCAAAGCCTCTCTCTCTCCAGCTCTTAAAGGGTAGCTTTCAAAGCAGTGTTTGGAGTTCTGAGGGCTCCCTTGACTCCCTCTTGCAGGACATCAGAGGCAATGACTTATAGAGGATCAGGTGGCTTCTGCATCAGACTGCCTGAGGTCACATCCCTGCTCCACTTCCCAGCCCTGTGACCTTGAGCAAACTCCTGTTGTTTCTAAGCCAAGCTTTCTCATCTGTAAAACGGAGATGGTGATACCTACCTCAGCAGGGCTGCTGTGAGGACTAAGATAGAAGTGTGTGAAGTGGTAAGCCCAGTGCTTGGGACCTGCTGTTTATAATAACAGACACACACAGCCACCCCATCCACTGTGTCTGCTCATCTTCTCTGGCACGTGGAAGAAAGGCCACAAGTCAATCTGCGTTTCTCCACCTGAGCCCGTGCACCTCTCTCCTTTGTGCTGGCTGGGCCTTAGCCTCTGACAGTACCTCTACGTGAGTCTGCCCCAGGATGGGCCACACACACAGCCTTGGCAGAGGACGCTGGAATGTTGCAGGGAAGGCCGGTCCCCTGGCACTTGTCCCTTCTGCCAGCCCCACTGCCTCTTCTGTTCTGGTCTCCTGATCTCACTGTGTTTCTTCACAAGGGCTTCCTCTGACAACTTTGCCTATCAGTGCTAGGAAAGTAAGGGTTCCCCCTCCGTTTCCTCTGGGGCTCATCAGAGAAGTCAGAAAAGGCCTCTGCTGCCCGAACTTGGTGAGTTCTCCACCTTGCTGTTCTTCATTCAAGATCTCTCTGGCTGTTTGTTGGCAAGTGTTGGGGGAAGGGGCTGGCCTTCTGCCAGGAACTCAGTTCTGTTCCCTTCAGTACAAAAGGTCTAGAAGGGTCTAGCAGAAGCAGGGCCACACCAGCTGGGAAGATCATATACCCTTTGATGCCACCAGCACCTTCCCCAGGGAAATGCCAGGCCACAGTGGCACAAACTGGGTTAAAAGTTTCAATTTATTAGGGGTATTACTGCAGACAGAACTGCCTGTTCCCAACTGGATTTCAGACTCATCTCCCAGTTGACAGGAAGCTTCCTTCCCACCTCACCCAGATGCGCTCTTCTTCTGCCCTGGGCCTAGGATGTTACAAAGAAACAGGCTGTGCCCCTCCCATGTCTTCCCACCTACCTTCTGAGATGGATTGCCCTCCAGAAACCCCAGTAGCCCCTTAGCCCCTTGGTTCCAGCTCTGCCCAGAGCCCTCCCCCCCGCCAGAAGGAGCCAGGTTGGAGGGAGAGAGAAGCAGGGGGTCAGCTATAGGCTTGATTGCATTTATTCTTCACCCTGGTCGCCCTGGCCTCAACTGAGATTGGGGTTTGATGCTGGGGGAGATTTCCTCTTGTTGACCTTCTTGGCCGGTGAGGTCTTCATCCCGGGCTTCTTGGCCTTGTTACTGTTCTTCTCTCTCTTCCTGGGCGATGAAGGCTCCACAATGTCCTCGCTGGAGGGTTCCTCCCGGCCAGGATCATTGTAACTGTCCTCACTTTCCAGGTCTGGCCGGCTGTCTGGGCTGGACTCTGACATCCTGGCCAGCTCTCTTGGGCTTAACGATCGGATCAAGTCTGGAGGTGATTCTGATTTAACCGGGCTTTTCTTCTTAGTCAACTTGCTCTTCTTGACTTTTTTCTTCAGCTTTGCCTTTTCGTCCATCTCCTCCTCCTTGTCTTTCTCTTTTTCTTTTTTCTTCTTTACCTTCTTGATCACCTTGTTGCCCTGGGACTTCCCTGTGGGGCTTTCAGAACGCCAGATGGTGATGGGAGCTGCTGAGTCAAGGGTGCCAGTGACCATGCCCATGCCTGTGTCGGTGGGTGTGGTGGTGGGCCCCACTTGGGTCGGGATGGGAGGCTTGCTTTCTTCCTCCTCCTCCTCTTCCTCTTCTTCATTGAGGTCATCTGCCCCACACTCATGGTGGATGGGATGGTGGATCACTGCCACGGAGATAGGCCTGTAGCTTTTGCACCTGGGAGGGAGGAGGACAGGGAAAGATGGTTGACAGAGTGGGGGTGGGCGAGTGCCCCATAGTGCCACCGTCAGCCTGCCGACACTCACCAGCCATAACAGAACTGCTCCACACACTCTTCCTCTGGGATGAGCTCAAAGCAAGGGGACTGGATGGTGTTGAAACAGGCTGAGCCCACATCTCGGGAGCAGGTTGGGCCCACATCTTGGGAGCTGCTATTTATCTTCTCTGAGCAGTCCTTCAGCCTGCCACACAGGGGACTCAGCCTGGTTCCTGTGCCTCCATGACTCCCCAGGGGCCCAGAGCAAGAAGCCTGAGGGACAACGGGCTTCCACAGGGCTCATCCCAGACTGCCAAAAGACCTCCCCATGGCTCTTGTAGCAAAGACACGTTTATAAAGCTGGGGCTGGGCTGCAGTGCCAGGTCAGCCAGAGTGGGGAACCACAGTGAAAATTTGCCCCTGGCTCTGCCCAGGAGTCTCCTAGGCTGTAGGTTTCCCAAGGAGTAGGCCCTTACCTAGAATCACAGTCGCAGTGGCTGACAGAGTGCAGGTGCAGGTTGTAGTGGCCATAGTCAGAGGTGAAGGGATGGATGATGTGCCCGGTGCACTTTTTATGTTTCCAGCAGCACCTGTCAGTGTCCTTGAATTCACCTGAGCAGGTAGGAGTCTGGGTCATACCCAGGCAGTAGCAGCAACACACCTGGGTCTTCCCACGGCTCAATCTAAAGGCTTCACTAGTTCACCTGCTATCACCTCTGCCCTCCCCGACACCTGTTTCTACTGCTGAGTAGTAGTAACTTAGCCCAGTAGTCAGTCCCTCTCAGGACTCCCCTCTCCCCAGTCCACTGCGTTAATCTGCCTGCCCCTCCCCAGACTCACCAAGGTCCTCACCAAGTCCCCCTTGCTGCCCTGGGACACCTTCCTCTTGCTCTCCCCTGCCTTCTGTGGGAGTCTACCTTCCCGGGGCCCTCCACGGACTCCCGCCAGCCCCTCACCCAGCTGTTCAGAGTTGTCACCTACCCCATGGCACAGAGTGCCTGGGTAGGGGACAGCTCTCTTGCTATGGCAGAGGGGAGCGCCACTTCAGAGTCCCCAGTGATTAAAGCCAGCAGAAGCAGCAGCATCCTCATCTCCTATGCCTGTCCTGCATAGGCCCGGGAGGCCTGTATCTGACCCCTCACAGCCTCTGGAGCCACTCCAGCCCCCAGGTCTGCTGCAGCCTGCCAGCTCAAGTCTGGAGGGGAGCACGTCATGCTCCTTGGCTTCTCCTCCTGACTCTTCCTTCCCCTTTCCCTCCTTCTCTCTTCTCCAAGCCTCTTCTCCTTCTGACACCTTTCTCTCACTTCTTTCCCCTTTCCTAGGCTCCCTCTTGATTCTTTCCCTACTCTTTACTCATCAAGTTTCCGTTCCCCATCCATTCTCCCTAGTTCCTAGAGCCACAGACTTGAACAGCCCACCCCTTGTAGGTAGCACAGATACTGTGTCCCCTTTCCCAGGGCACAGGGGAGAAGCTGCTGGGGAGAGGGTTTAGGATTAGGGGAAAGCCTGGAGAAAGTTTCCTACCTCTGCTCAGTTGAATTCAAGCCCTGGACACATACTGGCATTTCCCAGCCTCCACCCCCATTATCTCACCTCTGATCTTGCCTATAGCTTCAATGTACCAATGGCTCTCCCCTCGGACCACCATCTAAAAGCCCATGAAGTGACTCCTTGTGCCCAAAGTGTCATCAAGGCAGAGAGAACAAGGCACCATCCTGCAGGTTCCCCTGACTCTGGCCCCACCCAGTGCCTGAGGAGGAAGGGCACTCATGGGTTCCAGGGCAGCCTGGCTTGAGGTACTATGGCTGACTGACTCCCTCCAAACAGGCCAGGGGGATTGTGCATTTATCCAGCCTCTACAAGGGGTGAAACTGGGGCAAGACCTCATACTGGGCACCAGGAGTTAACTCACGCTGGTGGTGCTGGTGGTGGGGCGGGGTGGTGTTAGTCCAGGTGGCCTTAAAGTACTTGAGAGATGAGACAGCTCTGAGCCTTCCCCACATTCTTCCTCCTCCCTTCCCTTCTCCCTGCCCAGCTGTGAAGGGTCTGGGTTCCCCCTACACCCTTGACCCTCCCCCTTTCCTCCCTTTCTCCATCCCAGGGAAGTAAGAGGCAGAAGGAGTCCTGTATGTGAGGCAGGACCTTGGAACACCACTACCACCACTTTGGGTTTCTTCAGCACTGCTGAACTGGGGCAAAGGGCAGCAGAGTGGCAAGTGCCCTGAACTTGTAGTCAGACAGGCCTGATTTCAAGTCAATCTGGGTAACCTAGGGCAAGTTACATGACTTCTCTGAGCCTTCATTTCCTTATTCACAAAATAGGGATGGTGGTAATATCTATTTTGCAGGGTTGTTGGGAGGGCTCAGTTCACCTATGTCAAAGATATTTGTGTACCATAAACTGCCATACAAAGGAAAGGAGTGATTGTGGCCTCCAGGAAGGGCTGCTCTCTGGTGTGAGAAGGGGTGTGGGTGGAGCGGCTGGGTAATCCCTTCAGGACCAAACACTTCCCTCTGTCCCAGATGAGGAGTGTGGGGGCCTCTGGGGCCAGAGACCCCCTGGACCCACCTTCAGAGGAGAAGGTAGATGTATCAGTGCTCGAAGCCACACCAGCCAACAGATGTCCTCTCTCCCAGCTGGGTAACCTGTTTATATCTGAGAGAGCACAGAGTGGTAGCAGCAGCAGCCCCCTCCCCATGCCATTCATTCAGCCTGAGAAGCTCTAGGTGTCAGGCCTCAGGAGATGCAGAGATGAAAAGAACACAACAGTCCTCACTGGGGGAGGGGATGAGGAGTGGGACCCAGAAGAGGTATGTGCAACAGTGGGTGACAGTAGTGTGAAGTAGACACAGACAGGGAGGGAATGGTGGGATGGGCTATGGGAGGAGGGAACAAGGATGAGATGGGGGATGGGGGTGGTCAGGAAAGATTTCTTGGAAGAAGCGTAATAGGAACTGACTCGGCGTAGAGTAATGAATAGGCGTTAGCCAGGGTCTAGGCAAGCAGGGACAGTCCCAGGAATTGTCCCAGGGTGTGTGGAGCCTGGTCAGAGAGTGTCCCCAAACAAAACTACTAACAGGACAGCAGCTCCATCAGAACTACACTGTAGAATCTGCCACTTTCCTTCTTTTCCTACAATTAGCCTCATCCTTTCGGGTATTGGAGCTGAGGCCTGCTTAAGGAAGGTAGCTGACTGCTTGAGGATTTCAGCTAGGCCTCCTACAGGTCTCTGGTCAGCTCCTTCTGTTTTCCACAGTACAGTAAGTATTCAAAATTAATGGAATGAATGAATGAAACTCCAAGCACTTCCCTGGAAACTCCTACCCTGCTGCTGTTCCTCTCAGCACATCATTTCACTAGCATTATCTGTGGCTGCTTCCACCCTCATCAACTCTCCTCGAGCCTGGGGAAATGTCCTTCCTTCTGCCCAAGTACCTGAACTCTAGGTCCCAGAAAGAATTCTCACCTTCCCCTCTTTAATGTTTTTGGGTTTTTGTTTTCCTACAGGCTATTAACATCTTTAAACAAAACACTCTATGAACTCTGTTTCTCCCTCTGCCACTTCATATCCCACCCTCTTCCTTTTCAGTCCAAATTTACTCACTCACTCATTTAACAGACAGATTGGATAGCTTCACTAGGCACCAATGAAGGAGACCCAGTCCCTACCTTCAGTGAGTTCAGAGTTTCTACCTCTCTTTCCTATTCCAGCCACCTACAGCATGACACCTAGACCCTGTATCAGAATAGCCCAGGCAAAGGCCACCAGTGAGCTAACAGCCAAACCCAGTGGCCTTCTTTTTGTCTCATCTCACTTGACCCTGCTGACCAATCTCTTTCTTCTGCAAACTGTTTCTTTGGCTCCCGTGACAGATCTCTCATCTCTCTCTTCCTTCTCTGATTAGCTCTTTAGTTCTTTCTTGACTCCTCTGCTCTCCCCTCTTCCTCTGTTGTACCCTTTAAATTGGTGATTACCAGGGTTCTGTCTTTGGCTTCATTCTCCAAAGTCTCTACAGGCTTACCTTGGGTAATGTTATCCACTTCCATGGTTTCAACATCCACTAATAAAATGACACAAAGGTGGGTCTCCAATCCAGACTGCTTTCCTGAGGATGAAGCCAGTGTCCTCTTGGACATTCCAAAAACATCAGACCAGCATGTCCCACACTAACCCACCATCTTCTCCCTATCTTCCATGAACCACCTCCTCTTGTGTCTTCCATTTTCAGAGAGTAACAGACACCTCAGCTAGAAATCTAGGGATCATCCTTTCCCTCACTTCTCACCAACTTGATGACCAAGTCTTGCCATGCCTACCTGCCTCCACATCTGCCTCTGTCTTGGTTAGGACTTTCCTTCATTATCTCTGACGGAGACAACTGGCATGGCCTCCTGCCTGGCCTCCCTGACTTCTGTCTCACTAGGCACATCCAGTCCTCACAATACACCAAACTGAGTTTTCTAGAATCCCAACTGGTCCACCTCTTTAATAGCATTCCACTGCCTTCAGGACAAAGTGTAAACTCCTTATCATGACATAATTGGCCCCCAGGACCCGGACCCTGGTTCCTTCCTCAATTATAAGTTCCTCCCACCCATCCCTCCTCTCATCCTTCCATTCCTTCTCTTCTGTCTCCCACTCCCCAGGAACACCTGATCATCTTGGAAAGAACAATGCTATCCAAATAGAATTGGTCACACATCTTTTGCCCCTTTACACTGCACCATGGTACTTCATGCGTTTATAGCAGCTTGAGAACAAGGCTTATATTTCATCTGTCTCTGTGTCTGCAGATCCTGAGACATGGAAAATGCTCAATAAATGTTGGCTGATTGAATGAATACATGAGTAGAATAGAATAGAATAAAGTCTGTATTGGAGCCACAAATAAACCCTGGCATTGGAGGGTTCAAACCTGGGGACTTCTCTAGGAAAAGAAAATTGACCCTGGATGAGCATCTTCCCAAAGTCAGGCACTGTGCTGGGTTTTTAAAATATGCCTTTGATTCTAAATCATCAACCCAGCCCATCCTGTGAATGGGGACACAGAGACTCAGGATAAGTAACTTCTCCAAGGACACAAGCTAATAGATGGCGGTAGGATTCAAATTCAGTTTTCTTGGCTCCATAGCTGTGCTGTTTCAGCCCTGTCTACTTGCAGTTCCTATCCAAAACCTGTCCTGCCAACTATTACTTCCCGCTACACCTGCTTTTCAACTCTAACATAGCCAATTCATCACCCTCTGGCTTTACTCAGTCCTTACTCCACAGCCTCTCTTATCCAGCCTGGACCCTAAGGTCAGGCCAGAGCAGCATGATCCAGGGTCAGGATTCAAACTCTGCTTGCTCTCTGCAGAGTCATCATGGAAGACGCTAATAAGCAGGGTCCACTGACTAACTTCCCCCCTACACCCCCAAGAATCTTTGACAATCATAACTTTGCCAAGGGGAGAGATTTAGTAACTCTCTCAGATCTGAGGGAGGCAATCTGCCCTAGTTTCACGACAGGAGAGCTCTAACTGAAGCAGCAGTCTAGAGTTCCTGCAGCAGAAGTGATTGAAGTTGGACACTAGGGGGAACTTTATTATGAATAAGAGTGATAGCTTAAAAGGAAGAAGGAGGCTTGTGGTCTCTTTCTCAATAGGGCATTAATCGGGGCACAGGGACCTAATTCAAAACTCACAGGTGATGCTCATTTGTAAGGAATCCTTCCAGTCTTCAGGGCTGAGGAGCTCCCCCTGCCCTTGCGGCACAGGGGGTGGGGTTCCAGGTTGGGCACCCCAGCAGCTGAATAGGGGAGGAAGGGAGGGAGGAAGGGACAAAGGAAGGGAGTAACTTAGAAAGGGGAGGAAAGTGTAGGGAGCAAGGCAGTGCAGCTCCGATCTCCTTGGAAATTCAGCCCTGGCCCCGCCCACATCTGGAGGCGATTGTGATGTCACGTATGGAAACTCCAGGCTACTTCCTGCCCTCAAAGTCAATGGAACCGCCCGCTCCAGCCTAGGTGACTTAATCACCGGACCATGGGCTCCAGCCTAGGCCCGCACGTCTTGGGCAGCGGCTCAGGCTCCTGGTTGTGGCACAGAGATGCCTTTCAGCCTTACAACCAGGGTCCACCGGACAACCCCAGCGGAACCCGCAGGCGGTTCTCCAGGTCTTCAGGACCCTAGTCCTCAATCATTGGTCCACGGCTCGACGTGAGCCCGCCCCCAGATCCTAACTCCGCCCCTGTCAGCCCTTGGCCCCGCCTCCTTCTTCGAGCTCTCGGGTTCCACACCCTCCTTGTGTCCTCAAGCCAGCCCCCGTACCACGCCCCCTCCTTACCGGTGCCGCTCTCGTCCCACGAGCTGGCATTGTCCTCAGCCTTTTCCTTGGTCCACCTTTCAATCCTCAGTGTCGTCCTGACCCACATCGCTCTCAGCCCAGTTCTTCGTCTCTACAAGACTCTTCCTCGCAGAAGTCCAACCCTGAACCTCAGCTTGATGGAGTCCACCATAAACCCCAATCTCAGCTTCGCCCCAGTTTAGCCCTTAGCTCCGCCTCATGCTTGCCCAGTCCCTCCCCTCCCCCTGCTCTAGGCTGCGTTGTTTTAGCCCAGGTCAGAACTTCTACCGCGCTCTTCATCCGGGGCCTCCCAGCTCCTTCCGGGCCCCTCCCTCTTTGTCCTACTTTAACCTTGGCACCTCCCCTTTATCTCAGGCCTAAACTTTAGCTCGGCCGCTCAGGCCCAGCCCTCACTCCATCCCTGGTTCCTTTCCAGATCTGCTCCCAGCTTACACCTACCCTTAGGCCCTAGCCCCGCCCCTAACCCCGTTCTTAGCCCCGCCCCAGGCATTCTCTCAACCTCACACTTCGGGCTGCTCCTGGCCCCTCCCAATCCTTCGGAACCCAGCCACTACCCTTAGCCCCGCCCCCAATCTACACTCTGTCCCATGCCCGCCCGCCTGGGAAGCAACGGCCTACAAACTCCAACCCGCCATCCCAGTTCTTCCAATGTCCCTCCTGCCCAGGCGGGAGGCCAGGCTCGCTCTCTTTCTCTCCGCCTGCAGGCCCCTCCACTGGAGCCCATCGGATAAGGACGTTATATGGGCTCCCAGCCTCTCTGTGGCGCCTACTCCCAGTGCCCCCTCTTAGATTGCTCTCCTAGCCCCCTGTCCCAGAGACAATACTGCCCAATAAAGATGTCAACAAAGAAACAAAGAGTCTTGGTCAATCTTCCCCCAAAAGTTATTATAATAGTTCAGGTTTTCGAGCTTTTTCTATGTACTTTATTAGTTAGTACTTTATTTCGATCATACAACCTCATGTCGTTTTATCTCCATTGGCTTGCCCAATGCTGGGAGCAGGGCCAGCTACATGCATAGTAACCTACTATACACTTCCCTCACACCACACACTCTCGGAGGGAAAAGAATGGTGTTTAAACTTTGTGCTCTCCAGAGTCATCAAGGGCCTCTCCTGCTGCTGCTCTGCGTGATCCCAGCTTTCACCTTCCTCTAGACCCAACAGCCTGAGTGGATAGGACTAACATTCAGACCCTCTTACCCACTGTAGCTTTTGAGAGCTCTAGGAACAGCAGGAGAGGGGAAGCCAGAAGAAGGGGGAGTGTGCAGAAAAGCAAGCCCTTCCAGGACAGAGTAGCAGGTAAGAGTGGAACCAATGGACAGAACACTTGCCAACTGAGAACCAGGATCTCTGTTCTCATCTTGATCCTCCATGGCTCCCGGATGACACCCACCACATGTGTCCCTCCAATGTTGGCCCAGATGTCTGAGATACTTTCAGCCAAACTCTGGCTCTGGGTCAGATGTCAACAATGAGGCAGGTTCTTGGTCACTCTTCCCCCAAATTGTTATAATAGTTAAGGCTTTTGAGATCTTCCTATGTATATGTTAGTGCTTTATCTTATTTCACCCAAGAAACCTCATCAGTATTAGCCTCATTTTACAGATGAGGAAACTGAAGCACAGAGGGTGAGTAATATGCCTCAATGTTCCAGGATGGACAGCAAGGATTCAAATGCAGGTCCTCCTGACTCAGCACATCTTTTTTTTTTTTTGAGACAAAAAATGTCATTTATTTGTTTTAAAATACAAACAGAAACTACTTATGATTTCATGTTTTATCACTAATATAGTTAGATGTATCAGCACATCTTCTGAGTAAGAGCCCTGCCCCTACCATCTGGTGAACCCCAAAAAGCACTGAAAATTCAATCACTTCTCACTCTGTTCCCCTCAGAGAAGTATTTTTTAAAGGGAAGGCAAGAGGTGAAAAAAGAAAAAATATTATCTAGTGGTGGAAATTTGGTTATAAGTACCAAGTAGGGAGACCCACCTGGGGAGGGGGGGAAGGGTCCAAAGGAAAGGGCTAAGATCTCAAAGATCATTCAGATGCACCCAGTGAGGGTCCATAGCATCCCCTCAAACGTTATCCCTGAGTTCCCAGCCTGCCTGAGGCCTGCGCAGCAGCCAGGAATGGCCAGAATTGCAGCAGAAGACTCCAGTCCCAAGACTGCCATACAGCTGTGCCCATTCCACATCCCTCACCCCCGATAAAGGACTCCAGCCCTCAACCTGCTAATAACAGAGATTTTAATGCATAAGGCACAGTGTAAAGCTGGGACCATTAAGCATCCTCATACTCAAAGGGCCCAGCAGACTGAGCAAGAGAAGTAGAGCCCACCTCCCCAACACTAGGCACCCTGAAGAGCCCCTGGAGGAGGGGGGCATCCAGTCTTTGGCACAGTGCCTGGGGGCAGTAAAAGTGACTAGCATGGTCCCAGCTACCCCTCTGGGGATACTGCCACCAAGGGGCAGCTCTTTGGTCTGGAAAAACAGTCAGTGCAAATGTTCAGGGGTTGAGCTCTGGGGGAGTCAAGAGGACACAATGCCCCAAGGCTGGGCAGTCTCTGGACAGTCCTCTCACCCTTCATGGGCAGCATGTGGGCTTCTTCTTGCTGGCAGTTAGGTAGAGGTTGCTGTCATCACTGTTGATGCCTGAAGAAGAGTGGGAAATATGTGAAGCAGGGATTGGCGGGTCCTTGTGCTCTCTGCCACCCTCATCCAGGCAGGCACTCACGGACAACATCCCCAATGCGGCGGCACCCCGATTTCTCCAGCTCAGCCAGGACATTGGCCTCAAAGGTTAGTGCTGCCACACGGAAGAAGAATTCCCGGACGTTTTCACCTGACACAGGGAGCAGATAGGTGCTCAGGGCAGTTCCAGGCCTGGGATCAATGGGCACAGTTGGAGGTGTAGGAGTGAGAGGCAACATAGGCAGGAATGCCACAGAAGGTCGGAGGCCTCTGACTCACCAGTGAGAGATGAGACTGCCCAGTACTCGGCCTTCATCTCTTGGGCTACCTTGAGTGCGTCTTTCTCCATCAGCACATACTGAGCAGGAGTCTGAAGGAAAGTCAGAGTCAGGTGCTGAGGGTGGGGTTCCCCTCACCAAGGCGGGAAGTCCCCCCACTGGCACACTCACACTCAGATCCTTCTTGGAACCCACGAGGAAGAGAAGCACACTGGAAGGGTCATTCTCCTTGAGAGCATCAGCTAACCACTGCCTGCCACAGGTGGGCCACAGACAGTGAGGGATGAGGGAGATGGCCAGGCTCTCCTGCTGATACTCGTATGCCCGATTACCCAGTGCTCTTTGGTCATGGATGCATTCTTGTTCACTACCATGCCCCCAACCCTCCTCTTTTCTGAACCCTCTCCTCCCCAGAGTCCCCATTATAGCTCAGCATCCCCACGTACTTGGTATGTTCTAGGGAAGCCACATCATTCAGGTTGAAGACAATGATGATGGCTGGAAGAGTGGCAGAAACAACCCCAGGTTGTTGGGGAAAACACTACTGGATCATTTCCACAATCCTCCCCCAGCCCTAGATGAGAGACCAGGTGCACCCAACCAGCCCATTTCACCCAGACCCATACCTTGAGCTCCTCGGTAGTAAGTCGACGCAATGCATTTGAACCTCTCCTGTCCCGCGGTATCCCAGCTGGAAGGAAGGAAGGGGGAAACACAGGTTTATATGGGGCAGGGGGGTGGTGATGGCTGAGGTGGAATATAGGTGCTGGGGGAAGGAATGGCGGGAAGGGGCAGAGGAAGAACTCACAGCTGCAGACTGAAGGGGACGCCCAAAACCTCAAATCGTTCCATCTCAAAGTCCACTCCAATGGTGGCTTTGTAGTTCTTATCAAAAGTGTCTTTGCAGAACCTGAGAGGGCACCAGATGCTCTTGGCCCTAGCCCAGCCTACCTGGCTAGGCCTGGCCCCACCCTGCCCACCCCAATCCAGCTCCATTCCAGGAACCTCTTACCTATTTATGAGACAAGTCTTCCCCACTGACAGGTCCCCCACCACAATGACCTTGGAGATCTTAAATCTGCTGACACAAGAGTGAGCAGTAAGAGTGAGCACTAGCTGTTTCACCCAGAGGAGTCCCAATGCTCCCTATATAGTAGGTCCACAAAGTTAGGTGCACCCAGGCTGAGGTTACCATAGACACCAGGCCTGGACAGATGTGCTGGAGAGGAGTGTTTTGTGCTTCAGTATCAGAGAGAAGTGAATTTGAATTCCAGCTCTCACACTTACTAGCTGTGTGACTTAGGACACATTTCTTAATCTCTCTGAGCCTCAGTTACAACATTTGTTAACTGGGGATTTAACATATATTTTACTGGGTTGTTGCAAAGGTTAAAATGAGATAAATGTCCTATATTCTGAGATATAGCCCCCCACACACACAATTTTAACAACTCTGAAATCAGATACATCTTAAAAGTGAAGATGTTTTCCATTTAATAAAGGACAATAACAGTACCCAACATACAGCTTGGGACACAGTAAATGCTCAGTTAATTGTGGCCAACTTTTATAACTACTACTTTGTTTTTTTTCCACCTACAATGGGACTCAACCCTCTAGGCAATACCACTTGCCCTGGAGTCCAGATAGATGGTGTGTGGGAAGCTGAGTTGGTGACCACACCCTCGTGTTGGACATCTTCTCAGTGTCAGAAATTAAACTGCCACCTTTCTACCCCACCCCATCTCAGAGCACTCTCCACAACCTTGCTGGAAGAAAGGGAAGAACACAGGGGCATGAAAAGGGGAAATAACCACATAGCTGGTAGAGGCTGAAATGGAGCCCCAAGTTGTTGGCTCTGTACCCTTGCTTTGACTACAGCTTTTCTGGGACTTCCTTTCTTTATTCCGGGTGTCTCTAACTCACCCCACGGTGCCTGTCCGGTGCTCCTGGCAGGCGCAGGTGACGCGGGGGTGGAAGTCTTTGTGCACGTGCAAAGCGGCCTCCTTCCTCAGGCACTGAAAGGGATGGAAGAGAATGGGACTCACCCATTCCTGGCCCTAGTCCAGATGCCCAGCAGCCCGGGGCTGGGGTGGGGAGGGGACCACCCAGAAGCAGCAAGCCTAGCTGGGCGGCAGGGCTGGGCCCAAGCTTCTAACCCGTCTGGTGCCTCCTTCTTCCCGCCCACACCCACCGCAGCCAGAAGCCCGACGTGGCCCTGGCGCCAACCTACCTGCGGCAGCTCCGCCAGGACGCGGTCCCTCCGCACCGGCGCCAGAATGTTCATCTTGCCTGCGGCCTTGCGGGGAGCCCTGAGAAGGCGCTGAGGCCTGATCCGCCCCAGCGATCCGGGCCCGCGGAGACCCGACAATCACCCGCGACCGAGGGGTCCCGACTATAACTCGGGGCCACGGAGAACCTACGGGAGCCCGTGGCCTCGGGGATGCTACGACCACCGCAGGCCACGGGGATGAGACAGTCACCTGGGGCCGGGGTGAACCCACAATCACTCGGGCCCGGGGCGTCCCGAAGACGACTCGGGGTCGGGGAGACCCCTCGGCCGCCAAATGCGGGCGGGGAGTCCCGTCTGGAGGCACCCGGGTCCTCGAAGACCCTACAATAACTCGGGGCCGGATAGTTCCTACAATAACGCGAGGCCGTGGAGACCCGACGACAACTCGGGGTTGAGGCGACCCCACCATAACAGAGAGGTCCGGGGGGCGCGGCGCGGCCCCGCCACTCGGGGTCAGTGTGGGCAGGGACCGCGCAGCAAGGCCGGTGGACTGCTGGAGGAGGGGGCGAGGGACCCAGTCCACTGCAGGGCCTCGCGTCCCACTCGGCTCTCCCTCGGCGAGTGCTGTAACTTGATCCCCGGAAATTCCTGGAGAAGGGCCGCCCCCCGCCCCTCTCCCAGCAGCTCCCTGCCTCGCAGCCAGCCCTGGCCTCCCCCTCCTCTCCTCCCTCCGGCGCTGCCCCAGCTCAGGCTCCCCCGCCAGACGCCTCACAGGGGACCAGGATCGCCCCCACCCAGGCTGGAACCTGCCAAGATGGGGATCCATCCCCCAGGTCGCTCTCCTCTGCACCGCCGGTGCCGAGCTGCGCGTCCATGGGGACCCTTACCCAGACGAATTGGTGATGGGGAATCGGTGGCTGTTGCGCAGCATCTAGCTGTGCCAGGAACCAGCGGGAGGGGAAAGAGGGAGAGAAGGGGCTCTAGGAGAGGCGGCGCTTCCCTCAACTCTAGGGCCAGGACGTGACTCATAGGGTCTGCCCCCGCTCGCCCTTTTACCCTGGGGGGTGGTGGGAGAGAGCTTAGAGGGAGTGCTAGGGTCGGAACGAAGTGCCCACCAAGGAGAGAGATGTCCGAAGCCTAGTGCCTTTTCCTCCTAGGCTGCCCTGTAGATTGAATTGTTGGAGGGCCAAAAACCAAGCTGCCTCCCTCAATGGAGGATAAAAGAGGGCTAGGGGAACCGAGAATTCCGCCCTTCGAAGAGTTCACTGCTCTGGTACATGGGGACGCCCCACCAGTGTGGGCATTCTTCGCTCTGTCCCCATTGGAAATCTCCCTCCCCTCAAGGACAACTTTTCCTTTTCGCAGTCTGCAAGATAGAAGAGGGGATAGCACATAACAAATCTCATCTTCAAAGGGAAACTCTGATTCCAAAGGGGAGGGAGAGGGCAGAAAGGCGGTGTGGGTGTGGGGAAAGCACAGAGAAGCAAACCTGAGATTTACTAAACTTTGCTCTGTGTCAGGGACTGAATTTGAGGATGTAAAGTTGCCTGGAGCAAGGCAGGGAAGACTACTTAAAGGGAGGGGACTGTGAATGAAAGTATTCACAAGAAGAGCGAATCCTGGAGAAATCTGTGCCCTAGGTGTTTGGAATATCTGTTGAATCTCTTCAAGAGAAATCACATGAAATAGGGAAAACGCATGAAATCTGCCACTGGTAAGAGGGACAGATGTGACCACCATCCACCTTCTCTGACACTTAGCACCTCTCCTCCGCCTGACTTTTTTCTTCCACGGAATCACTGTGTTATTAATAAGCCGTCCCCTCATTCGACCTCAGTTTCCACAGATGTTGTCTGAGGGAGTTGGACTGAACAAATTCTGCTCTACCGTTCTAGAATTTTGCTTTACTCTACCTGAGCCAATCTAACTACAGTATATTAATTCCAGTTTGCAGTGTTACTGTCTCTTTGAACTGTAATCCCCTTCCCTAAAGTTGCTCAAGATGCGAAACACTCAGGATCAGATCCGCGCAGTAGCGGACTACTTCATCCACCCGCCGCAGCAAATAAACACGTGTCGCAAAAAAACTACAACACCCGTGAAGCTTTAGCGTCTGACAAGCCGAGGGGTGGTGCTAGTTTAGGCTCTCTCGCGAGGAAACTAAATCTAACTACCATTCCCGGCGGGCGCTGCGGCTGCAGGTTATCCAATCAGCTTTAAATAAAAAGCGTCGCGAGTTTTCGGTGAGACTTGGCTCTATAAGCTTGCGGGAACAGACCTCCGAAACCCTTTTCACGAAGATGGCGCCGAAAGCGAAGAAGGAAGGTGTGTGATGGGCCTAGGGGTCACGGCTGGCTGACCTGGGATCCCCTCAGAGTGAACGAACTGGGGTGACAGTGTCCGGGCCAACCCTTGGGGTTTCTGCTCCGGGGCAGTTCCTTGCGTTTCGGCAACGTTGAGGAGCGCGTGGGCCCAGCCGCATGGTCTGGGCTCCAGTGAAGGGAGTTGGGGAGGCAAGCCCGGCTGGCACCCTCTGCCGGGGGACAGCCTGACAGTCGGTTCTGGGGAGCTCCATGTCTCCAGACTTGTAAGGAATCAGTATCCTCAACTTCTTTCCTCCCTACCCCCCCTTCATGTTAACTGGGAATATATACCCTCCCAGGATGGCTGTATAAAATTACTAGCCCACATCCCTGGCAATTACCAAGCGTTCGATCATTGCTAGTTACCTCTTTTTTTAACTAGTTACTTTTTTCTTAATCATATCCCAAGTTCGCCTTAGTGTCGTGCATATGATGGAAAAATTTAAGCTCCTGAGACTGGTGATGTCTTCAAAGGAACCACTGATGCACGTGTGGCCTGGGGCGCCCACTACTGGTCTTGAGGCCGGAAGTGATCGCTTTATGAATCCCGCACCCTCATTTTCTTTCCTTCTCAGCCCCCGCCCCTCCCAAAGCCGAAGCCAAAGCAAAAGCTTTGAAGGCCAAGAAAGCAGTGCTGAAAGGCGTCCACAGCCACAAAAAAAAGAAGATCCGGACGTCACCCACGTTCCGACGGCCCAAAACACTGCGGCTCAGAAGGCAGCCCAAATATCCTCGGAAGAGCGCCCCTAGGAGAAACAAGTCAGTATCGCCCTGTACTCATGAAAAGATGTTTGGGTATCCTCCCAATGTTGGTAATTTGGAAACGTACCAAACCTAGAGCATGGTTTCTCAAAACCATGTTGGTACTTAGCGTGCTTCTCTCACTGGAGGGTGAAGAGATTAATGCGCTATTCAAGAACAAAAGGTGATTTTAGAATATTGTCAGTGATTAAAACAACCCAAAGTCACTGTCTAGGTTAAGTAATTGTTAGGTTAATTGCTTCATATGTGGAAGTGTACTTTCTTGTGAGTATGAAGTGGGACTTAGATGTTTTTTGTTTTGGAGTTCCAGGTTTAGTTTGTTCCTCATTGCACCTGTTGCTCTAGGGAATAGTCCTTGAAGGTGAAGGTGTGTGATTATTCTAGATTGATGAGATTTGTTCATCTGTATTGGATAGTGAAGGCCTATGGAAGTTTCTTTTCATTCTTCCAAATTTTTACATTCAAGAAATGGTAGAGTAGGGGGTGTCCATGGAGGAAAGGACAGACTTTACCAACATTTGGATCTAGAAATTAGTATGATGAGAGGTTGAGACCTGACCTCTAGCTTCAAAACAGGAAGGTAGTATCCAGACAAATAGAGCTTTGCTGTTTTGAATTTCAGAGGGAAAGCTGTGTTAAGTTTGTTCAAGCCACTGTAGCTTTAACCTGAAGCTAAATAAAGTTGCTTTCAAGAACTAATGGCCTGCAAGCCAGTTTTCAGCAACCAAAGGGGGCAAAACAGTCACTTCAACCTCATAGTGAAGCACCTACATTCTTTGGAACCCTAGCCTGAGTTTCAAGATTCCATAGTCTAGCTTTGTGCTCTTGGATTACGTTGTCTAACCTCTTAAGTTTCAAGTTTCTTACAGAAATTTGCCCTTCATAAATGTTAAGGTCAGATAAAGAATGAAGAGAGTTGGAACTCAAAGATAATTGTTTAATCACTTTAAGGATGAGAGCCCTTTAAATGAGAATGTGCACAAGGTTTCTGCCCCCAAGTTGAACTCCAGGTTCCTAGGGTTCAGGGTGCACGTGATGACACTGTTAAGCGACCAAAGTCTGACAGAAATGATTGCTACTTCATTGTCTGATGCACCTGGGCTCTTCTGGCCTTGGGCTCCAAAAGGACCATCTTTTTAGTGGGCCCACGCCAGATGACTCCATTTTGTCTCACCCCAAGGCTTGACCACTATGCCATCATCAAGTTCCCCTTGACCACCGAGTCAGCTATGAAGAAGATAGAAGACAACAACACACTTGTGTTCATTGTGGATGTCAAAGCCAACAAGCACCAGATCAAACAGGCTGTGAAGAAGCTCTATGACATTGACGTGGCTAAAGTCAATACCCTGATTAGGTGAGTTGGGGCCCCATGGGATGGGAAAGGAGGTCAGGGCCTCTGTCAGAAGCCAAGAAACCTGAATGGCATGAAATTCCTTGGTGCTGCTTTTGAGGGTAGAAGTAGGTTTCCTCATGTGTAAGCCATGATAAATGAGCAGCACCTGCTGTAATTACACTCACTTGGATGAAGTATGGGTTTTGAGGAAACATCAGCTGTCCTGCCTCTAGGACTTCGGGGGTGGTGCTCATTTTCTTGATCCCTACTTCTAGGTGAAGCAGGCCCAAGACTAAGTTACAGTTAATGTCAGAATATACTTGTGTTTCCTGTAAAATGTAATTGGCTTCATTTGTGGCTTAGTGGCTTCCCCCTGACCCCCTCTGCGCAAATGATGGAAAAATCACTATTTGGAAAAAAATGACATGAACAAAGGAACCACTGATGCGCCAGATGACTGAGGAGGGAGGGTACGGGGGCAGTGAGAGCAGCAAGGACTAAGGCTTCCTTCTCCTCTGTAGGCCTGATGGAGAGAAGAAGGCATATGTACGACTGGCTCCTGATTATGATGCTTTGGATGTTGCCAACAAAGTAAGCTTCCTTTGCTACAAATTCCCTAACACCCCACCCTTCCTGGGTGCAAATTATGTGTCTGTTAGTGACCAAAGCCTGACTTCAGTGATTAGTCTCAACAAACTGCACCCTTGTCTTTCATAGGCCCTATCCCTTTTGTGCCCTCATTTTGCTTTTAACAGTGACATTTGAGCTTAGTCTTCACATTTCAACTTCTAATAACAAAATTCCCTTTTGTTTTTCAGATTGGAATCATCTAAACTCAGTCCTGCTGGCTAATTCTAAATAGAAAAATTTTTACTATATGCTTCTTGTCTTTATGTTGATTTCTGGTTGGTCTGGGGGAGGCCATACTGTGATATATACACACCTAAGTAAATAACAGGGCTTGGGCAAGATACTTGGTTTGCTTATTGTGTTGTAACATTCAGCCCTATCACCTCACCGAATTTATAGCAGAGATACTTATGACCCACATTAGGATTAGTTGTCCTAGGACAACTGTCTCCGTCATAGAGGTAAAAAAGAAAACAAGAAGCTTTACAAGAACACCTTTATCCCTGGAAGAGATCGGCAGTCTTCATTAGCATCCATTTCAGGGCAATGTGGGTTGGGTGCACCTTTCCCAACACCCATCTACCATGCCCAACCAGTCTGTCTGCTTCCTTCACCCCTTGTCCAAGAAAGAACAAGAACTTCAGAGGAGTGCTTTCATTAGGGTTTGCAATAGCGGGTGAAGAGGCTGGCCCCAGAGGATGCCTCCGGCAAGGGGCTAAGTCTTCATTTATGTGTGGGGCTGTTCTTGGCTGTGTTTGCTGTCCTTGCCACAAGTTCCCAGCTCTGCTTTTCATTCGGTCAAGAACTTGTCTTTGTGTTGCTGGCTGGGAACACGGTTAGGGCAAAAGTCAGAGCGGAGAAGGCGGGAAAAGTAGATGAGGATCATGACATCCAGCAAGAGCAAGATGCTCAGCAGAAAGGTTCCCAGGGTCCTCTGGCCAGCATAACCCAGGAAGTAATGGGTAAGGTAGGCCTGAGGGGCCAGGCGGAAGAGAAAGTACATGACCAAGTTGACATATTTGTTCACCCGATAGAGGAGGAGATCCTGGGCATTGTTGATCTTCATCATCATTCGTATAGTGAGGAAGATGTTGCTGACCTCCACCAGCAGTGTTAGGACGCCCCCACCAACAAATCTTTTCCAAAAGATGCCTGAAAAGAAGGCACCCATGGCCTACAATGCAAGGGAGAGAACGTGTTAGGGAATTCACATGCCAAGACTTCAACTGGAAAGTTGGGGAGAATATCAAGGCTACCGGTTTAAGGGCTAGGAAGTGCTCCCCTATTTGCTTTCTTCTGGGAAGAGTTTACAGTGGATTCAACACTGCATTTTGATCCCTGCCCAGAGGTTCTTGGTCTGGGTGGAGTTTCCAGTCTAAGGTGAGGCCTTGATTGCTGGCCTCAAATAGTGAATCAAGGGCACAGACCGTCAACCTAAGGCATTCTAGTATGAGAAGATGTAGGGCGTCATTGGAGTGGCGTTGAAAGATGGCCTATACCTCCCAGGTTCAAAAAGACAGGGCTGAGACTAGGTTGCTAGCACTAAGCCTATACAATATCCTCTGCTTCTCACTTACCATGACATGGTGGACAAGGTATTCCCAAGAAGCTCGTGCCTGATGGCTAATCAAGATATCCACGGTGTCGTGGATGAAATACCCTAGGGGAGAGGTGGGGGAAGAGGTATTAAGGGGACTGAACAAACTTATCCCTGTCCCCCCACCTATTTAATGTTTCCTGGGCAAGACCCACCTGTGGAGAAGCAAACGAGCAGATAGCCAGAAAGCGACCATGCTGTCTCAATTTCCACCAGCATCTCAGGGGTCTGCCATATACTGGGAGGGAAGAAGGTAGGCGCTCATCATCTCGGTATCCCCAAGGACGCACAACTTCCCCCATTACCCTTGCTAGTCCCCGGGGAGACTGGGCTGACGCTATTGGCTGACTGCGGAGCTCGGAGGAGAGCGGCTTAAACCCAGGTGTCTCCCATTTCCTAGGTGAGACACCTCCCCCCTCCCCTGGGGCTGCTGCAGTTCCTGGTTGGACAGCATTCTAAACTGGGAATCAGGTGAGACTGCCTGGGCCTCAGCCCGCTGGTGAGTGATGCGGCAAGTAATGCGGGATCCCCTAGCCTTCACTCCCCCAGTCCTTCACTCACCACAGCAGTGCCCAGATCCCTGACACAATGGAATGAGTGAAGGAGACGAGCAGGTTGTGCCAGCGCCAGGTGCGCAGGGCTCGGTGCGCACGTGTGCAGGCAGGGGCAGGCGACAGAGCGTGTGTCGGAGCGCCCGGAAGGTCAGCGTGGCGCCCAGGAGCAGCAGCAGGACGGGGAGCGGCATTGGGGGCATGCTGGCCCTCCCTGCCTTCTACCTGTCCGCCCTCTAGGCGGCCTCCGCGGGCTGTTCGGGAACGGGGCTCCCTCTCGGGCCAGTTCACCCCAGACGCCTCTCCCGCCGGCCGCCAGCCTCACACACGGTTTCCGCGGAGCCCTGTAGGCCCCCTTCTCCCCTCCCGTCCCCTCCCTGCCGGCCTCTGCCCCCGCCCCCAACCGCCCGCGCCCCCGCCCCGCCTCCGCCTGTCCCCGC